ATCTCTCCAGGTAGGTGCTGCGGTTTAATGCTCAACCCTTTCCGCGGGTGGGAGGGAGGGAGGGGGTGAGGGTGGGCTGCCGGGACAGTGAGCCCCAGCCGAGGGGCACTGGGGAGGATGGGAAGAGGGGGCAGCCACCGTGGGGGTTGTCGCTTGTGGAGATGGTGCCAACCCCGGCGAGTGATTGGCACTGCTGGAGTTTCTCGTGGGTGGGCAAGATCAGAGGCAGATTTGTTTCTGCTGCCTGGGGAAACTGAGCACTGCACAGGAAAATGGCTCTGGAGACGCATCCTTGCCCTATGTTGGGTATATTTTTGGTCTGGTTTGCCTTTCTTTGGGGTAGTCTCTGGCTGGCTGGGCTGTGCCTCCAGACTTGCTCTGGAGCTGTCTGTGGGGTTTTTTTGACTCACCCCATACCCGTACAGCCCCTGGGTGCGTGTCCCGGCTCTGCTGTGCAGAGGGTGCAGCCTCTGCCCATCCGGTGCTGAGCAAACCCTGATTCATCAGCAGATGCTGAATGATCCCCGCAACCCCACGGTGCAACCACTCCACTCAGTTTTTCCTAAAAAGTGATTTTGGCTCCGGTGGGAGCCGGGGCAGGGGAGGCTCCTGGGACGCGGGGTGAGTCAGGGGCTCACATGAAGCCTGGGTGACGTGGGGATCGCTCCCGACCTCCCGCAGACTCCGGGGCAAGCTCCATCGGCCTCACTGCGCAGGTGAGGGGACGGCGACTCAAATGCAGTCACGCTCTCCCACAAAACAGAGCAGAAATCTTAGTTTGAGTGGATGTGATGGCTCCGGGACTTAATTACAAATCCCAGTACTTAGGGAAGGACACCCACCATGGCCAGCCCAGAAATGGGAACGAGGAGACACCCCGTCGCTCGGAGGCTGCCGGCTCACACCCTGCCTCCGTCACGGATGGGATGGAGCCAGTGGGCATCCCAGCCCCATCCGGACCCACCTCCCCTGAGCCATGGACCTGCGGGGCCGCCAGCCCAGCGGGGTCCTGCTCCCAGGTTGTTTCACAACCTGGGAAGGCAGTTTCTCCTCTCTCATTAGATGAGACAGCATTCACTGAAACAGCAAAATTGTCAGATATCTCAGCACTAATGATTAACAGGGCAGGAGAGGACAAGGCGGCGGGAGACTCACCGATCTTTTTTTATTCATCTCTTTGAGGTTAAAAAAGGCAAGACGGTGGAAAGTAAATCCCTCTTTGAAAAGAGGAGGGAAAGACTGGCAAAGCAAATCCATAGCCTAATAGGTGGATTACTTAATTACTTAAATAACGAGAAGCTGCATGTTGGTAATGCCAGGTTACACGCTGCCTCTGCAGGAGCCAGGCAAATTCAAGGCAGGGAAAACTCATTTTCATTTCCAAGGAGCCTGTGCATGCAAAGACAAAGCAGTGACTGGCTCTCATGTGGGTTTCAACCGGCATTAGTGCTCTGCGCTGTCACTGCTGGAGGGACGGGAGCCATTAGCACCGTACGCCCCCACGCACGTGCTAACCTTGCCGGGTGGGAATGTGTGTGTGCAGTGATTGCTGCACCGGGAAATCACACTGTGCCGTGCAAATAAAGCCGTGCTGCCTGCCCGGCGCGGCTAAGCTGTGTACAAATATTGACAGGGTCAGGGCTGTGGGGGGGAGCGCAGCCGGAAAAAGTTGAACCGGGATGTGTCCCCCGGTGGGGTGAGAGACGGCTGGGAATGCTCATGGGGTCCCTGGGACAGGTCCCAGTCTTCTCCATCCTCATCTCGCTCGATGCCAAGCATGGCACCGGGGACCATCCAGAGGCCCCAGCAGCGGATGGGATTGCTGTTGGGGTGTGAAGGCTGCTCAGGGGGTGCAAGGGGCGATGGGGATGGAGGCAGCGGGAGGGAAGGGCAGCACACCCCCCGGCATTGCCCTGTCCCCAGGGCTCCCCGCCAGGACCCCTCTCCCCCTTCGCTCTCCGTTTTGCTCTGCTGACCCGTTCGCTCTCCCCCGCCTCCCTCGACCAGGAAGAACAGAAGCCGCAAATAGTTTGCGGGGGGTAATGTGGTTTAATTTATGACCCAGCTTTCATTACACAGTAACTCGTAAACCACACTGCGAGTCACCGTGTCCGCAACCGCATTAGTGATACCGCAGGCCCGGACCTGCTCTGACTTTCACATTCTTAAAAGTCAAATTCAAAGTAAACCCAAAGTCTGGAGGAAACCAGAGTGCCAGCTACAGAGCTGGGACGCTGCGATGGGACGGGTCCTGTGCAGGGGGGCTCTGCCCCGTCCGGCTATTGGGGTCTCCGCTGGGACCCCAGCGTGGGTTTGCAGCTGACTGAGGACGAGTGCTGTAGGTAAATGAACACTGTTGTGAACAGCTCAGTCCAGCCAATAAAAATATTTTCCAACGCAGGTCATGCACCGGCAGAGAGGGTGGGCAGGTTTTGCGTGGAGAAAGGGAGAGAAAGCCCGTGTTTTCCAAATAACTTTCGATTCAGGGTGGCATTTTATCAAAAAAAAATTATACATTTGGTTTGTGCAAAATAAAATCTTTAAATACGACTCTTTTTTTTTTGTTCTTTTTGATACAGTCTGTGATTACACACATTTCCCAGTCCCAGACACACACAGGGAGTAAGAGGAGCTCCTGCCATCCCTGTTTCCAGGCTGAGTTTGTCAGCAGTTGCCTTCAGCCTCTGATGCTTTTTCATCTGAGGCTTTTTGCTCAATAAAAATTAAAATGCCATCGCCACAGCTCACGTTGGGGCTAAAATCTTCTGCTGCTAGTAGTTACCCTTCCAGTTTATGTGGTTGAGATCTATGTGGTGGCTCTAGGGTCCTGGTGAGTTACAGGTTAAATATCCTTGCCCAGGAAGGTTTGCTTAATGTAGGGATTCCTTTTAAATGAGTGCTCCCTCCAACAGAAGAAATTAGGAGTTGTAAAGTCAAGTGCTTGTGTTGGGAAATGCTGCATCAGCTGGGTGGAGCGAGAGCACTTTGCGACACCTGGCGCGCGTTGGCGTCCCTCTCCTCCAGCCCCATGCAGCAGCTGGGGAAGGCAACCTCCATGAGCCCCTCAGCCCCTGCCCGAGGGTGTCTTAGTCTCCTTTCTTGTCTGGCATCAGGGCTGCAAGATCCCCATGCAGGACACAGCCTCACCATGTCCTGATGTTTCATTCCAAACAGCTTGGCCAGGCAGAGGACCCTTGAGGATGAAGAAGAGCAGCAAAGAGAGCGCCGGCGAAGGCACCGGAGCCTGCTGTCCTCCACATCAACGGATGAAGAACTTCCTAGCCCTGTGAAAGACACCAGTCCAGCTTCCAGCAGGTGTGTGGGGTCCTGCTAGTGTCAGTCTCACTCATGATGCTGATAGTTCGCAGCTTGCTGCCTTATTTTTCTCAACCCTGAGCCAAAGCTGCTGCAGTTGGTGGGAGTCTCTTCTGGATGAGAGTGGGCTGAGCTGTGGGAAGAACAGGGGTCCAACGGGCCTCGGGGCAGAAGGATGAGCTTCACAGGAGGAGCACAAGAAGAGTGGTATACGTCTGGTGGGCTCAACCATGGGCCTCAACATGTCCCATGGCACAGAGACCCGGTGTGCCAGGGTGAGGGTCGGTGCCAAGGTTGAGCTCAGGTGGGTGCTAGTGGGATCTTGAGCAGGTAAGAGCAGATGGGCACCCATCTCTGCAGGGGAGGTGAGCCAAGCATGCAGAGCCTGGCTGGCTGTCCTCCTTCTCCTCTGAACCTTGCGGTGATGTTGTTATGACCTTTGCTGAAGTGGGGGAGTGACCCAAGGGCTTTCCAGTGGTGCTCCCAAAGTACCTTGCTGCAGGGCCCTGGGATTTGGAGGTGCCCTGAGATCAGGCTGCCCTTACACAACCTGACCCACTCTCTAAGTTGATCTTGGAAATGCCCGGTATTTAGATGGGTTTCGTCCACAGTGAGACTCACGGTCTAGAGGTGTTTCTGTTTCAGACAGGATGGAGTTAGGATGCTTGGGTTGGGTATGGGTTGAACAGGGACTGGACATGACCAATATGAACAAGCTAGATAGGACAAGTCCCCCTTCCCTGGTGCTAGCACAGGCTGCCCATGTGGTGACTGCAGTTCAGGAGGGCAAATATTACCCCATCTCCTTCCCAAGCCCTGGAGACTGTGTAGATACAGTCTGCATGGCCCTGGACAAATGTCCTATCTGGTCCTTCCCAAATCTGGTGGCCACGGGAAGGAGGGGAAATGACCGTGTTGCAGAACGTGTTGGGCCTGTGGTTGGACCCTGCTATAGTAAATTGACTTTCAACCAACACTGTAGACTTAAAAATAGTGGTATTTTTTCCCAATCCAGTGAAGAGCCACAGACACATCTCATCCAGCAGCAGACCCAGCACGCAGCTCGGAGCCCACAGGTCCTTGGCATAGGACTTGGTGCATGCTGATATCCTGGGATGAGGCTGCAGAAATACTTAATCTCTGCCACAAAAAGGAAAAAAAAAGACTTTTAATCCAAACTTGTCCTTGGAGACCCTAGCTGGTGTGACAGGGATAAGTGTGGCTGCGAGTCTTGGTCCACAGGGATGACTCCAGGATGTTGGTGGGATTTTTACACCCCACACAGTGCCTTTCACCTGGGTTAACCTCACCTGCAGCATAAAATTCAGCCCTCTGGTCCCGCGGTGATGAGGTTTTTCCCCCCATTTTGTCTCTGTCCCTAGA